GTTGATGGAGCATGAAACTCTTGATCTCAGATTCATGAGTCTGAGGCCCACATTGGGCATAGAGTTTCCTTAGGGGGGAAAAAAAAAAATGAATGAAACAGTCATGTTATATCTTCACAGAACAACAAAAGTGGGCCAATAATTAATTTAATTACAATTATGCTAAGTTCCATGAAAGAAAGTACAGGGAACAAAAAGAACATATTACAAAGGGATATAAACTAGGTGGGAAAGTCAAGAGATATACCCTTAGGAATTGACATTCAAACTGAGAGCTGAAGGATGAAGAGAAGGTATCTAGGTAAAGACGGTGAGGATAAATGTTCTATGTAGCAGAGACAGGTCCTGTGTAAAGGCCCTGTGGTAGGAAGTTAGAACAGAACTGAGGAAGGCCACTGTAACTAGAGCCCAGGGAGCAAGGGAAGAGTGGCATGAGATGTGACTGGAGATATGATGGGTACCAGACTGTATAGGTCTTTGGGGGCTACATTCATGATTTAGACTTTAACTTAAGAAGAGTGATGAGCATTAAAATGTTTTAAGCAGGGGCGCCTGGGTGGCTCAGTGGGTTAAGCCGCTGCCTTCGGCTCAGGTCATGATCTCAGGGTCCTGGGATCGAGTCCCGCATCGGGCTCTCTGCTCAGCGGGGAGCCTGCTTCCCTCTCTCTCTCTCTCTCTGCCTGCCTCTCTGTCTACTTGTGATCTCTCCCTGTCAAGTAAATAAATAAAATATTTTAAAAAAAAAAATAAAAAAATAAAATAAAATGTTTTAAGCATGGAGTGACTTGATCAGACATGTGTTTTTAAAAGATTACTTTGGGGCGTGCCTGGGTGGCTCAGTGAGTTAAAGTCTCTGCCTTCGGCTCGGGTCATGATCCCAGGGTCCTGGGATCAAGCCCTGTATCAGGCTCTCTGCTCAGCGGGGAGCCTGCTTCCCCACTCTCTCTGCCTGCCTCTCTGCCTACTTGTGATCTCTGTCTGTCAAATAAATAAATAAAACCTTTTAAAAATAAAATAAAATAAAATAAAAGATTAACTTTGGGGGCGCCTGGGTGGCTCAGTGGGTTAAAGCCTCTGCCTTTGGCTCAGGTCATGATCCCAGGGTCCTGGGATCGAGCCCCGCATCGGGCACTCTTCTCAGCAGGGAGCCTGCTTCCTTCTCTCTCTGCCTGTCTCTCTGCCTACTTGTGATCTCTTTCTGTCAGATTAATTGAAAAAAATAAATAAAATAAAAGATTACTTTGTAAAGAATGGATAAGTGGAGGCAAAAGCATATCTAGTGAGCCCAGACTACAGGCCATTGTGGGGATGTCGGGCCAGACAAGATGGTGGCTTGGGTCATGATATTGGCTGTGGAAGTGAAGAAAAGTTGATAGATTTGGCAAATATTAAGAAAGTTGAATTAATAAGATTTGGTATTTGGAGGGATATATGGAGGGTGGGGGAAGAGTTGTTTACAGAGCTAGGGACCATTCTTGGAGGACAAAGTTTGGAAGGGAGGATGATGAGTTCAGTGAAAAAGAGTAGAATTTCAAGCACATGGGAGCCATCCAAGTGGCTATATCCATTAGAGAATTGGATATAGAGATTTGGAGCTCAGAGAAGTCTGGGCTGGAATACCAATTTAGGAATCATTTAAATATCAATTGAAGCCATGAGCTATAATGATCATTATAGGGTGACATTGAAAGAAGAAGAGGGCTTAGGACTTTAATGAACACTCAATTTAATGTTGAAGTTGAATGAGGTCAATTGATTAGGGAGACTGAAACTCGGCAATCAGAACTCATGAGAGCTGGAGGAGGAAACCCAGAAAAGTATAGGGTCATGAAAACCATAGGAAGTGAGGGAGAGTTTGCTAAAGAAGGAAGAAGTGGGGGGCGCCTGGGTGGCTCAGTGGGTCAAGTCTCTGCCTTCGGCTCAGGTCATGATCCCAGGGTGCTGCGATCGAGCCCCGCATCAGGCTCTCTGCTCCGCGGGGAGCCTGCTTCCTCCTCTCTGCCTGCCTCTCTGCCTCCTTGTGATCTCTGTCTGTCCAATAAATAAATAAAAATCTTTAAAAAAAAAAAAGAAGGAAGAAGTGGGTTGTGCCAAAAGCTTCTATTGAAAAGGGCCCACTAGAAATGGCACCGTGGGGTTACTGATACCCTTGGCAAGAGGAATCTTTATTGAGCAGTGGTAGTAGAAACTATATCGAGGTACGAACGAATAGGAGGTGAGCCTGTGTAGACAGGAACAAAGTTAGGGGAACACTGCAGACAGAGATGCAGTATGGGCAAAGACATATGGAGACCCCCAAAATAATGATGTGTTGGGAGGACTTCGAGCAAACCCAAGTGGTTGGAGACTTGAGTGTAGAACAGGGAGAGGGAAGAAAGAATGGATGATAAAGAAGCTGAAAAGGGAAATGCAGGATGTGAACAACTTTGAACATGAAGGACAAAAGGCAGGAAAACTATGATTTCTTGAATGCCTTCTACATCCTAGGAGTTTCTGCATTATCTCCCTTAATACTCATGTAAACCCTGTGAGGAATGGCAGAATTCTTAATTCTAAGAAAATAGGCTATTCAGGGAAGTTTTACTTTACTGAGGATCACACATATTGTGAGCAATGGGCTTCCAGCCTCCCTTCCACGCAGGAAGATCTGGGCAAGTGCCTTGCCAGGTGGTGGTACCAGGTGGGGAGAATGAGACCAGAATCCCTTTCGTCCAGCAGCACCATGGCATCAGGTGTTAGGCAAAGCAGAGAAAGGGTAGTCCAAAAACCAAAGCCAAATGCAACAAGAAAATAGTCCAAGAGCCAAATGGTCGGTCCATCCAGAAGTCAGGCTGCCGGAGCCAAGAAAGGTTAGTCTACGAAGCCAAAACCCCACCCAGTAATTGGTCCAAAAGCCAAGTTACGCACAAGCTGTACAGCCAGATCAAAGAGAGGGTTGAGGAAAGCCAGGAAAGCTCACAAGTAAGCAAGCCACCAACTCAGCCTCAAGCTTCCAGACGAGCTGCCCTTCAGCTCCTAAAGGGCATTTGAAGATGAACTTTGAAGGTGAAGAACTAAACAAAAAGGTCCTCCAGAGATTACATGATCAGAGATGTTTTGTGCAAAGATTTTTCTGGTGTCTCTGTGGGGAGGGGCTTTGAAGTTTCAGATAAGACTACCTCCTCGATCTGGATCTCAGAGAGGAAGGACAACTCAGGCTCAGTCCACAGATGCAACCGCCCTTTGCAGAGTAGGACATGGGTAGGACACTGGCTCGGTCCTTGGACTTGAGGAATTTGTATGATTTGTATGCTAGAGGAAAAATACGAAGACCCCCAAAGAGGAACAGCAAACATGGATCTGGTCTATCGAGGACACTCAAGAAAGTGAAAGCTTTCAGGCAAACCAAACCAGGCCACAAGCATGTATTAAGGGCTTGCTTAAAAATAAGTCTTCTCATGGCCCCTGGTGGCTCAGTGGGTTAAGGCCTCTGCCTTCGGCTTGGGTCGTGGTCCCAGGGTCCTGGGATCCAGCCCCTCATTGGGCTCTCTGCTCGGCAGGGAGCCTGCTTCCTCCTCTCTCTCTCTGCCTGCCTCTCTGACTGCTTGTGATCTCTGTCTGTCAAATAAATAAATAAAATATAAAAAAAAAAAAAGTCTTCTCATCGGCAGAAGAGTTTACTCATTGTTTCATCTGAGTCTCATGGCCACTCTATAACAGAGTATTATTCCCCTCCTCCTATCCAACTGGTTTTTTTTTTTTTAAGATTTTATTTATTTATTTACTTACTTACTTACTTACATAGGGAGGGGAGGAGCAGAGGGAGAGGGACAAGCAGACTCCCCGCTGAGCCCAGAGCTGAGGGGGGGCTCCATCCCAGGACCCTGAGATCATGACCTGAGCCAAAATCAAGAGTTGGAGGCTTAACTGACCGAGCCAGCCAGGCGCCCTCTAGTTGTTTTAAACAGATGAGGAAATTGAGGCTGGAGCAAGATAAGAGATTGCCCAAAGTCACACCATTGTGGATGGCGATCAGAAGTGCAAGTTGAACCCGAGCTTTGTTTTATGCAAATTCTGCGTCTCTTTCTGCTATAGAAGAGAAATTGATCAGGGAAGATGTCCAGAGGAGGAAGTGCTTCAACTGCGCCAGTGGCAGGCTGCCAGGTGTAGAAGGGTGACAGCGCCCTCTGGGCAAAGGCACAAGGTTGCAACACAGCACGGTCACTTAAGAAAACAAAACAAGGTTCTTAGAATGAGAGGTCCTTGTGGACAAGGAGGTCCAACTCCTAGAATGGGGCCTGGGGCTCAGCAGGCCCCCGGGGAACTGCTTGAAGGAAAGAACTTCTGGACCGCAGGTTCTCTGTGGGAGAGTACCTGGAGGGAAGGCTGGAAAATTAGCCCGGGGTCAGAAGAGGTTGGGGCTTGTATACGTTACGGAAGCCTAGAAGAAGAGGAAGAGGAGGAAGGCAGGGAACCCGGGTACATGTGCAGAGAGGACGTGAGGAGAGAATCAGCTGGAAGGTGGTTACAAGAGACAAGGGAAAGGCCAGAAGTAAACCAGGCTTAGGGAAAGGGAAGGGAAGAATCGAGAAACATTCAGGAGTCAAGGTACCTAGCGACCCTCCAACGGGAAGGGGGGACGTGTCCAAGTCTGCAGCTGAAAGGCGGGAGCAGTGGAGGGATGGAGGATGGTGCCTTTGGAGGCAACAAGTGTGGGTGGTGGATACCCCAGTCCCAGGTAGGCTGCAACCTCAGCAGTCCCTCTTAAGTTGCGTGCCAGAGAGGGAGGGGCCTCCCGGACCGGAGAAGGCATCAGCAACCTGCCAGAACCGGGTTAACAAAGGCAGGACTACAATTCCCAGCATGCTCGGGCCCGGTGGGGTGACGGCGGGCGGTGGCTGCGCCGCACCCGCCTGGTGGGCGCGGGACCCGGGTCGGCACCGAGCCTGTCATTCCGGAGGGTCTACGGGGGTGCGAGCGGGCGATGCACCCTTGTCCCCCGCGCGCAGGCAGCGCCGGGCTCGCGCCTCCCGCCCCGCGGCCCCGCCCCTTGCCCCACCCCAGCCGGGAGGCTTAGCTGGGGCCGCAGCGCGGCGGCAACATCACTCTCGCCGCCGCTGCTCCGCCCCATCCCCTTCTGTTTTTCTCTCTCATTCTCCGGTGGCAGCGGCGGGGAAGGTGGAGGCAGGGGCAGCAGCAGCCGCGCGGGCTGCAATGAATGATCCCCCAGCGCGGGGGGAGGACTCCAGGTGAGCCTCTGCCCTCGGGAGGGCCGGGACCCCCGGCCGCCCAGGACCGGCAGCCCCCGCCATGGATCCCTAGAAGAGGAGGAGGAGGAGGAGGAGGAGAAGAAGACAGCTTCGCCGCCCACCCCCATCCCATTTTCCTCTTCCTTTATCTCATTGTTGCCGTAGCTGTTTACGGCAACGCTCCCTCTGCCCCAGCATGGGGCGGGTTCCGGGCACTGCCATTCGGCCGGCGCGGCTGCCGCGGCTGCGGGGGGATTCTGCCTAATTCTCCCCTGCCCGGCCGGTGCAGCGAGGACCGGAGAGCGGTGGAGGCCCGGACTGCAGCAGCGGCAGGGCCACCTCCCAGCATCCCCACCCTAGGAGGCTGCATGCGGATTGAAGAGCGGCGCCTGGGGGCTGGGCTGGCCCCGCTGATCCCGACCTAGCGAGGCCAGCAGGACCGCCCAGGCTGCGGAGGGGCCCTGGGGAGCAGGAAGGACAGAGCATCAAGATGGCCAGTAAAACCAAGGCCAGCGAGGCCCTGAAGGTGGTGGCCCGGTGCCGCCCCCTCAGCCGGAAGGAGGAGGCTGCTGGTCACGAGCAGATCCTGACCATGGACGTGAAACTGGGCCAGGTGACCCTGCGGAACCCCCGCGCTGCCCCAGGGGAGCTGCCCAAGTCCTTCACCTTTGATGCCGTGTATGATGCCAGCTCCAAGCAGGCAGACTTATATGATGAAACCGTGAGGCCCCTGGTAGACTCGGTACTTCAGGGTTTCAATGGCACGGTGTTTGCCTATGGCCAGACGGGCACCGGCAAGACCTACACCATGCAGGGGACCTGGGTGGAGCCCGAGCTGCGGGGGGTCATCCCCAATGCCTTTGAGCATATCTTCACCCACATCTCTCGCTCCCAGAACCAGCAGTACCTGGTTCGGGCCTCCTACCTGGAGATCTACCAGGAGGAGATCCGGGACCTGCTCTCCAAAGAGCCTGGCAAGAGGCTAGAACTGAAGGAGAACCCAGAGACCGGTGTCTACATCAAGGACCTCTCCTCCTTCGTCACCAAGAACGTCAAGGAGATCGAGCACGTGATGAACCTGGGGAACCAGACCCGGGCGGTGGGCAGCACGCACATGAATGAGGTCAGCTCCCGCTCCCATGCCATCTTCGTCATCACTGTGGAGTGCAGCGAGCGGGGCTCAGATGGCCAGGACCACATCCGTGTGGGCAAGCTCAACCTGGTGGACCTGGCTGGCAGCGAGAGGCAGAACAAGGCAGGCCCCAATGCTGCTGGAGGGACGGCCACACAGTCCACGGGTAGTGGCAGCGGTGGAGGTGGGGGTGGTGGCGGTGGTGGTGGTGGTGGTGGTGGTGGAGAGAGGCCTAAGGAAGCCTCCAAAATCAACCTCTCGCTGTCTGCCCTGGGCAACGTGATCGCTGCTCTGGCAGGCAACAGGAGCACCCACATCCCCTACCGGGACTCCAAGCTGACCCGGCTGCTCCAAGACTCTCTGGGGGGGGAACGCCAAGACCATCATGGTGGCCACTCTGGGGCCGGCTTCCCACAGCTACGACGAGAGCCTCTCCACCCTGCGCTTTGCCAACAGGGCCAAGAACATCAAGAACAAGCCCCGGGTGAACGAGGACCCCAAGGACACGCTGCTCCGGGAATTCCAGGAGGAGATCGCCCGCCTGAAGGCCCAGCTGGAGAAGAAGGGGATGCTGGGAAAGCGGCTCCGGAGGAAGAGCAGCCGCAGGAAGAAGGCCGCGTCAGCCCCAGCTGGGTACCCCGAGGGGCCGGTGATAGAGGCCTGGGTGGCGGAAGAGGAGGATGACAACAACAACAACCACCGCCCGCCCCAGCCCATCCTGGAGTCAGCCTTGGATAAGAACATGGAGAATTACCTGCAGGAGCAGAAGGAGCGCCTGGAGGAGGAGAAGGCGGCCATCCAGGATGACCGCAGCCTGGTGAGCGAGGAGAAGCAGAAGCTGCTGGAGGAAAAGGAGAAGATGCTGGAAGACCTAAGGCGGGAACAGCAGGCCACGGAGCTGCTCGCGGCCAAGTACAAGGTAAGGGCCCCAGACAGCAGCGGGACTCCAGAGGTGCCCAAAGGGATCTGGGCTGGCAGGTTTTCTTTGCGGGTCTTTGATTCTACCTGAAGCGAGGTGTCCTCCCTCAGCACAACACGCTTGTCTTCCTGCCCAATGGGAAATAAATCCCCGCAATTCTGGGCTGCCGGGCAGAGCCTCCCAGGAGCACTGAGGAGGACAGACAAACCACACACACACACACACACACACACACACACACACACACACGTGCAAAGCAAAGCTGGCAGGTGGTCTTTCAAGCCAGCGAGCTTGGACTGGTCTGACCAACTGCCTGTCAGTCTCTGCTGGTGGCCGTCAGAATCAGTCAGGTCCTTGGGGTGACCAGGCAGGGCCTCAGCCTCATTTGGGGGTGGGTTCCCTTGCATAGCCGCCTCCCCTGGGACTTCCTCCCTCTGCAGCACCTTCACGCCTTGCACCATTTTAATAATATCTGACATTTGGATAGCACTTCCCAGTCTACCAAATGCCCCACAGACAGGATCTCATCTGATCCTTAGCCATCCAGGGTACTGGTTCTTAAGCCCCCATTTTATGGGTGAGGAACTAAGGCTCAGAGGTGACATGACCAAGGTACCATCCTACCAGGTGGCAAAGCTGAGCTGGAGCGCACGATCACTGTGCTCTTTCGGTACTGGGATAGCCAGAGGGGCTAGGAATGGATCCTGCCCCCTGAAAGCAGTCCGTGGGACCCATGCAGGGCCCAGTGCTTGCTAGAATTAGGAAGGAGATCCAGAGATCATGGGGAGGGTAGGCGAGAGCACTGTGCTCTACCCTGGAGAACTGGAGTCTGGGCCTAGCTATTCTATCGCTCATCGAGTGACCTTGTGTAAGTTGCTTTCTCCTTTCTTAAAGCCTCAGTTTCCCTTTTTGTAAAACTGAGGTGGCCTGGGTGATCTCCGAAGCTCTTCGAAGCTGAGAAGCAAACTGCCCCCCCCCCCCCCCCCCCCCCCCCCCCAGGCCTCATCCCAGTAAGATCTAATTTCCCATTGCCCTGAGAGCTATCCGGACCTTCCTGATGGGGGCCTCCAGGCTCAAGGTGGGGCTAAGCTACAGAGGTCTCTGCCAGACCAGCCACAGACCTGTTCACTTTCATTGCTGCAGATGCCACAACTCAATGTTCAGGCATTTCCAGGTCCCTGGACTCCTCAGTGCTGAGGGTTGGAGGGAGGGCACAGGGAACAAGGAGCTGATCATTTGCTGGAGAGAACAAAACATTGCTATTTTTTATGCCCTCTCAAGAGTGTGGGCTGGGGAGCAGGGAACTCAGCCTGGGGAGGGAGAGTGGCGGCTGCTGGGAAGCCGGGCAGATGAGCTGTGCACCATTGTCTGGGTTATGGGTATGTGCTGCTGCACAGGGGCTCTGGCCTTGTGTCTTTAATATTTAATTCACCTCCATGAGCTCAGCAAGGGTTCTACTGAGATGCTTCCTCAAAGAATGGCCCAGAGGCCTGGCACCTTTGGGGCCATCTGGGGAGAAGCAAGATGATAGCCGAATAGTTAGACTCAGCCCTCCCTAGGAGGAAAGGAATCCAGGCAATCTGGTGCTTTCCACTGGAAAATCTTATATGGGCAATCTGTCATTAGTTTCATTACCAAGGGAAGCCCCTTCCCCCTTACTTCCCTTCTCCACCCTCATCCCCCTTAAAGCTGGGAGGCAGTGGAGGCTAAGACAGTACAGAAGCACACTTCAGCCCTGACGAAATGGGAGAGGGGTTGATGTGAAGGATGTAGCAGTTCCTTCCCATTGGGAACAATGGGATGTCCCACTGTTGGCAACTGACTGGCTCCCCTCAGTAAACTTCTTGGATCTAAGGCAATGTGGGGCAGAGATAGTAGGACAGTCAAGAAGTCAGGGCAGCCAGCACCAGAATTCTTGCAATAGAGGTATGGTCCACAGAACCCTCCTTCTTAGAGGTGGCAGAGGCCTTGGGAAACTGAGGCCTGGCCTTGCCCAGGGCCACATAGGTGAGTTAATGAGATCCCAGACTTCTTATGCTTGATCCAGCCTTTTCCCCGTATGTCCGAGTCCTCATGTTACCTGTCCAACTGATAATCAGAATAATTCATTTTTATGTAACACTTTGACATCTTCATCTCAAGCAACCCCAAGAGATGGGTGTTCCTATCCCCATTTGACAGTTAAGAAAACCAAGACTGGAGAGCTTGAATGCCTGTCTCTGTGCCCCTGGGCTGAGAAATAGTGGAGCCAAGACTGGGACTCAGGTCTCCTCATGCTCCCGGGCCCCTATTCTTCCCAAGTCATCACCATCCCTCCATGTCTGCTCACTGTGTGACTCAGGGCCAAGGCCTTTGCCTCTCTAGGCCTCAGGTTTCTATTCTCCTAATGAAGAGAAGTCTGACATATCTCCCTGGAGACTGGGTGACATGGTCATTATGTGCCAGGCTTTCAGACATGAGTGAAGGGGGCCGGTTGGCTGGGAAATTCCAGGAGGGGAATGAGTCTGTATCCTGTGACTTCTTGTCACACCCAGCACAGGACAAACACCAACAAGACAGCTTGAGTGGAGCCGGGACAGAGAACCCCAAACTCTTCCTATCCCCAAGGCACGGCCTGATTCTGCATTGGATCTTTCTAGGATGGAGGAAACAATTTGAGGGCTCTTGAGGGATCACAGATTAGAGGGGAGGAGCACATCAGAGATAATCCCAGGCCTGCCTATTTCACAGGTTTGTGCCCAAGATAAAATGAGATCATTAGTGGGAGGGCGTTAGAAATAAGTTGAAAGGACTAAATAAAAGGAGGGGCATTAGCAGCAACAGGGTGGCCTCTGTCGATCAAGCCAGGGTCCAGTGATCTGGGGGACTGACATCTTTGCTGTTAGCTTGACTCTTTTCTCCACCCCCCCCGCACCCCCACCGGCCGATCCCAGCTGCCTCGCCATAACCCTACAGCTCTGAAAGCAGAGCTGGGCAAGAAAGAGCCAGGAGGACTCAGAAGAGAGGGAGCTCGGGTCCCTCCTGGAAATTAACTGAGCTTTTGCTCCCCATCTGCTGCACACTCTCTCCAGGTCCCACTTCTCAGTTACAGCAGCAGCTCCCCTAATCGCCTCCCCCCATTCCCTTCTTCCAGTTCACACCACCCTCTGGGGGCAACAAAGCCAGAGCTGGTACGACCTACTGCCCTCATTCACTCTGACTCATCTTACAGTCTGGCTCGCCAGCTTCCCCTGCCTGCCACCTCCAGGCTCCCCGTTTCCTTTGTTCTCCCCTCACTGTGTACAAACACCATGCCTGTCTCCTTGGAGTCTCCTTTCATCTCTCCTTCCATATTCACTGTGGGCCCCAGGGGATGTGAGGGTGTGCAAATGTGTGCGGGCTCGTGATTGTGATCAGGGCCCGGTTTCTCACTAATCATTCGCAGCCCTTCCTTACGGAGTATCCCCCTGGGGCTTGATAGCACGCTAGGCCTGTGAGGAAGAGGGTGCAGGGAGAGTCAAACACCCACAACGGAGCCTGGGGCTCAGATGTTCGTGCACAATGTGTGGACTGCAGTGAGGACCCGTGATAGCATGTGGATGGGTTGAGAGAAGGCCCACTTTACTCACATTTCATTGTGCAAGATCCTTGACTTTTGAACTCAGTTTTTTTGAGGGATTGGACCAGGTGCTTTCTGTAACTGATCCTAGATTCTTAGAAGGAAAGAAGGGTGGCTAAGGGACATTAGGGCTGTAGATGGCACAAAATGCTGGTTTCAACTAAAAGGAGGGGTGGAAGAGGCACTGCCTGTTTATCCCCACGTGAGCAGGTCTAGAGGGAGAAGAGCTAGAACCCGGCTCTGTCTGCAGCGGGTGTAGAAGAGAGACCCTGCAGAAGTGGCGCCCACAGCCAAAGGGGCGAGGTCATCACAGAGAATACAAACTACACTGAATGTTTACTGTCCACTCCGTGGCTCCCTCTTCTTCCCCCTACCTCTCAGCATGGGGATTAACCACAAAAAGATTGCCAAGAGGGAGTTTCAAGCCCCAGAAACAGCAGTCATCACAATAATGATGCTGTTTCCGTAACACCTGCTATGTGCCAAGCACTGTACTACTTGTTATGTACACATGATCGAATTTAATCTACGCAAGCACCTTCCAAGAACGGTGTTGTTACTCTTCCCATTTTAGATCTGAGAAAACTGAGGCCCATAGAGGTTAAGTAACTTGCCCAAGGCCTCATAGTTTTATGTGGCAAATCTAGTTGAGCCCAGGTTGGTTAAACACAAAATGTGATCTTCTTTTATGCTTCAAGATTTGGAATATCAGTTTTGGGAACTGGTTGCTAGGTGAAAACTGGCAGAAGCTTGTGCCATGGAATTTGAGGTGACAAAATCCAGTGGGCAGCTGGAAATGGATCTGTGGAGTTTAAAGCAAACAGGAGACTAGTAATGGAGATTGGGGGCCCGTCTGTAGAAGAGAGCTCAAATGGGACCCAGGCGCTCCGTTCTTGACATTCTCTCTGTCTAGTAAATGAGTTCCCAGATCAGGGCCTCCCATCCTGGTCTCTGCTGACGTTATTTTGTAGAGTGCTGTATTCAGATCATGGGCATCAGACACAGACAGGCCTGGGTTTCATGAAAGACCTCAGTCACCTCATCTATAAAATGAAATAATAACAGTACCGATGTTAATGTTTCTGAGAGGATTAAATGAGATAATGTTAAAGTGCTTTGCACACTTCCTGGCATGTAAGCACAGCTGTTTATTACTGCCTAATGGACAGTCTCACTTGGCTTTGCCTTGATAAGTCAAACACACCACATTTTAGACTGGCATTCAAGACCTAGCAGAGACCGGCTGCCATATGTCTCCTCCATCTTGCCCCCCCACCCCACCCCAAGAAAGCTACTCCAGTGAGAGACCTCACAGCCAGCTGGTCTACCTCTATCTTTTGAACCTAGTATGTACCTCACTGCCTTTCTGCTGTTGCACTGTTTTTATATCCTGGATTGTCTT